ATCACTAATAAGCTGTAAACCTCAAGCCACTTACTCCAGAGTAGTCCTCTGGCTACAGTGACTGCTGCTTTGTAATACTACTGATTGATTTCTTGGTTACCTTTCTCTTTAAAAAAAAATACAAGGTGACTTACAACACAATGGTTAAACGGACAAAATATAAAATAGTTGAAAACAATTTCCATTAAAAGCAACAGAACATAATAAACTAACATAAAATAACATAACACATCAAAACTGACCATAACTAAAACAACTTGACACATAAAAAGCCCATCATATGCCTTTGAATTCCTGGGAGTAAGAGGAAAATGTCACGTGTTGAGAAGATGAGAATGTTGGCACCAGATGGGCTTCCCTAGGGCCTCAGTGTGACTGTACCTGCCCCATACTCTCTCTCCCTGGGGAGAATGCAGGGCAGGTGAAGTCAAGCTGGCTCAGTCCCTGAAGCAAATGGGACAGAGCCAGCTTCCTCCTGGCTTTGCTGCACATGTGCTTTTCCCAACCAGGGAAAGAGTGCACACACCAAAGCCTCCCTGGCCATGGTACCTAAGTGGAGGATCACCTGCCCTCCCAATCAGGAGTGTGTTAAGTAAGAGTAATCCCTGCTGCTATTTCACAGAACCATAGAATAGCAGAGTTGGAAGGGGCCATGAAGGCCATCGAGTCCAACCCCCTGCTGTCCCAGGACACCATGTTACACCATCCCATTCAGATGGCTGTCCAGTTTCTTTTTGAACGTCCAGTGTGGCAGAGCCCACCACCTTTCTAGGCAGCTGGTTCCACTGTTGTATTGCTCTGAACGTGAGGAAGCTTTTCCTGATGTCCAGCCTGAATCTGGGCTGTCGCAGCTTGACTTGATTATTCTGTGTCCTACACTCTGGCACAGATGAGAGATGCTGGGCATTCCCATTGCTGGCTCCTCCCTGATCCCCATGCTGTGCAGCAGACTGTAGAAGGGGACAAGGAGTGACCTGCATAAGGGGATGCTGGTATATGCAAACAGGACAGGCAGCAGCATCTTCCTTCCACATGCATCTAGTATGCGCAGTCAGGTAAAGGAGAAGGAATGTCTCCAGACTTAAATACCCAGCTATACAGCACACTCACTGGCAAATATCTATCCTTTCCTGTTGGAAAAAGTTTGGCAGTGTGCTTTAGCCAGTGGTATAAGACAAGTAATGCACTTTGAGGCCATGAAGAGGGAAAAGAGGATAAGCAGCATTTATAATGAAACTCTGCTCCCAAGTTCAATTTCAAGTTGGCTGTTGTTCCACAGCGTTTAAAGTGTTTGAAGCTACACAAATAAGATACAGGGTATTTATAGGGAAAGTGCTTTGAATATTCTTCCTAACCAGGGCCAGTGTACTTGTGGTCAACACCTTCCTAAGCAAGCCCATGGTGAACATGGTGAAGTGCACTGCTTGTTTAATTTTCTTAAAGAGAGTTTCGGATATTGAAGTTGTGTTATTAAGGGGATTTAAATGCTACTGCAATCTAAAGCACATGTACTCAGGGCCTGCCATGGTAACTGTGAATTTATCTGTCTGATGTTGTGCTTCAAGGCATAGCCCTGAGGTATAGAAAGTAAGGAAAAACTGTAGGTGCGTGTTAAAGTGGCAGGGCTGGCCCTACAACTAGGCAGAAAGGGCAGGGCTGGCTGCTTGGGATGCAATCCTATGCATATTTGGACAGAAAAACCACCTACAGCTTCCAGCAATCATCTACCAGAACATTTTTTTTGTATAAACATCACCCCATTTCCTCTATTCAGTCTTTCCTTTGATGCTCAGTGGAACTCTTTAAAACCATCCTGAGCCTTATATACACTGGCTCCAAAGACATTTTAGACTTGCAACTGTAATATATTTGCTAGGCACTTCCAGGACAAAATCTCTTGCTAGGACTTAGACTTCAATGTTACAGCAGTTAAATCAAGTGAGATACCCAAAGTTCACCTGGTCAAGTTTTCTTGGATGAGTTTCTACTGAAAGAGCTTGAAGATGTTGATAAGGTGCTTGGACAAGTGTGTGCAACCAAGTTGGTACAGGCCTTTCTTGGCCTATACAAAGCAGTGTGTGGGGGGAGGGGGCAACCAGCTGAGCCAGGGGGGTGGGAGAGGGTGGGAGAGGGAGTGTGGTTTCATGCAACCTGAAACAGGCAGTGGTAAGACCACAGAAACCTTCTCTAGACCTGGAATATCTCAACTATGTTAAGCTAGTGGCAAATATTCTTTTCCTCAACAAGGTTCTTGAATGGGTGGTGGCCAATCAGTTCCAGGAGCTCTTAGATAAGCCTGTTTAGTTGGATTCGTTTCAGTCAGGATTTAGGCTGGGTTTGGCTCAGAAACAGTTTTGATTGTGAGAGAGATTGGAGAACTGTGATGGGGTTGTTAGCTCTCCCTTTGGCTTTTTATCATCATCAATCATGGTAATCTTCTGGAGTGGCCGAGTTGGGACTGGGGAGTGTTACACTGCAGTAGTTCTGCTCTTTCTTGGATGGCTGACTTCAGAAGGTGGTGCTTGAGAATAACTCTTGGCCCTGTGGACTCCCCAGTATGGGGTTCTTCAGGGGTTGATCCTGCCCCCTGTGCTATTCAGCACCTACATGAAACCACTGAGTGGAGTTATCTGGGCTTTAGACTGTATTGTCATCAGTATGCTGATGGCACTCAGTTGGCAACTGAGGCTGTGGATGTCTGGTGACTGTGATGATGCACTGGAGAAGGGGAAATGAAGTGAAGCTCAGTCCAGGTAAGGCTGAGATGCTGTAAGTGACTGGTTCCTCTGACCAGCTGGAGGGTGTTCACCCTTTTCTACTCACCTTGAAGGAACAAGTTTGAAGCATCAAGGCCTGCTCTGGGCCACCTTTGTCACTTGAGCCTCAGGAGGTCTCAGTGGCAGGAACTGCCTTCTGCCACCTTGGACCTGTGGCCCAGGTATGCCCCTGATTTCAGTAAACTATGCTCTGGTGATCTCTAAAACAGATTACTGCAATACACTACATGGGCCTGCCCTGTTGAGAAGACAGTTCAAACATTGCAGCTTGTGCAAAATGCAACCACCAGACTGATAACTAAGAAGGTCTGAACATACAGCAACAGTTCTGTCCCACTTACATTGGCTGTCTATAGGCTTCCAATCCCAAAACAAGGCACTGGTTTTAGCCTATAGTCTTACATGACTTGGGACCACAATCCTTGACAGAATGCCCCTTGCAGCTGCAGTCTATTCAGACATTATGTTCAACTTCTGGGGCCTACTCCGACTGATGCCTCTGAGGGAGGGGTTGGGAGCATCAAGGAGGAGGTCCTTCTCGTGCCCCCTGTTCCAGAGCAAGCTCCCCACTGAGGCTCACTTGGCACCAACTCTATTATCTTTTTGACACTAGGTCATGCCTACCCCCACGCCAAGGCATCTGACAGCTCTAAATAGCACATGGGACATTCTACCAGCTGTTTAACAGGTTCTGTTGTTTTCATTTCGGCTATTTAAGTCATTTAAATTTGCTTTTTAAAATTGTTCGTGAAATGTTCTGAGGGTTTTTTTAAATTGATATCTGTATTTTAGATAGTATTTTATTGTATTTTGAGTTGTTGACTCTCCACATGGAGAGCTTCAGCTATTGGGAACAACAACAACAAACAGCATGCATGCATTGTACCCTTAATTTTTTAGTTTTGCATTTTTATGCCCAGTCAGAGGGTCTTGAGTGATTTTCTTTCTCAGGAACCAAAATAATTTGCTTGTCTTTGAATGGTGTCTTTGACTAGGGCAGGGGAAACCACTTGCTGTTCTGCAAAATGTCTTAGGACAGCCCTGAGTTGTGTAAGCTTGCCCAGGTCACTGAGCCTGCTGAAATATCCTCCTCAAGCTTTCTTGATCTGCCTGCACTAATTTACTTAAGACTGACTTAAATGTTTCCTCCCTAATGAAAACCCATGCTGTCCTGCACTTTTTTTCTTTTTGCACAGAACAAACAACATGTGTGCAGATGAAGAGGGCTGTGCAGAAAAACCTGACAGGGACGACCCTTCCCCACATCTCCAGAGAGAAGGAAAGGACCAGGAATCATTGTGACTGACCTACGTTACCAACTCAGCTTTGTCTTCAGTAAAGAACACTGCTATCCTTGCCCTCCCACTCGCAGGTTTTGGCATCAGGAACCTTGGCTTTGTCAGGGGAGGTGAGTTGGTTCGTTCTGATATCTAACTGCTGTGAAGGAATCCAGGTTTGGAAAGAGTGAAAATGTTTAATGTTTCCTAAAGGGGGGTGGTGGCCAAGCTGAGCCAACTTGCTATGGAAATTCTAAGGGATCGTCTGGAATGACTAGGATAGAGTTGAACAAATTTGGGATGTCGGAAAGTCATGGAAGGTGACACATTCTTCCCCTAGCTAACTGGTGGGGGATCAGCAGATGTTGGTGCATGGGGGGGAACAGAATCATTCTCTGAAACAGAGAATGGAATGGAAAGATGGAATAACGCAGAGAAGAAGGCAGGAAGAGAACTAGCACTGAGCTCTGGAAATATCCTGGAGTGTGTCTCTGAGCACCTGATGCAGGCTGGTGGACTTGCTGCTAGTCATTTGCCTTTTATCTCTTCCTATGCTCTATCCATACATAAATCAGCATTTACTTACACACACACACACACACACACACACACACACACACACACACCATAAGTTTCCAGTGAACTCTCCTCCAGAAGGAAGCTATTTGCAGTATTTACAGGAATAAACCACATGAAAAATGGGCTTGAGTTGAAGTAGCTCCTGAGTTGCTCACGTCAAGTTTCGGGCCAGAACCTGACATTTTCCCAAGAATGGAAATGAATGCAAAACTGTTTCTGACATGTCTCAGTGTAGACGGTAGTTTACTTATTAGAGTTAATGGATGCTAAATAATTACTGGGGACCAAGAGAGAGGGAGTGTGTGTGCATTGCATGCCAAGGTCATGGTTAATCCTTGTGCCTGCATCTGTCTGACAGCGAGCTTACCTTCCATAGCAGCACAGCCAACAGCAAGAAGATGAGAATTCCCACCAGCAAGCTGATAGCAATGATCCATCCAACCACATAACCACGAGGCTCCAGATTGTGCAAGGCCTCAAAGACCACCTACAAAGTAAACAGGGGAAATATCTATTTTAGACAACTAGTCTTCATTATTCCATATGACAGTTATGCTACACTGCATTCCCAGTTAATATTTATAAAGCACTGCGGGGTAGTAATGTCAACCATATTTGTAAAGTTTAGCTGTCAAAGCTAGTTTTCTCAAGGGGTTTAAAAGCCTTTTAACAATCAGATATGAGTGCTGATAACAAGATGCGTCTCATCCTTGGTAACTCCATCCTGTTGCTATTTTCCTTTTAGACATAAAGCTCTCTTCAGAGCCAGCCATGGAAAGGGTATGGCAGCTGGCATGAAAATGCCGGTCTTCTCCTGTTTCCATGAACTCTTTTAGAAGCTCTGTGAAAAAAATCAGTTCACTGAAATAAGTCATCTGGTTGTAAAGTTTCAGTAGTTGGTAGGGTCTAAACAGCTGCTTTATATGCTACAATTCCTCCATGCAAAGACAATTTTTCCATAAGAAAATGTGGGCCTACTGCGATTCATATGGACAAGTGGATGTTCCATTTCAGATGCCTTCAACACTCAGGTGAGAGACAATACAGGTCCTCCATCCCAGACTCCTGCTCAATGCAGAATCTACCCTGCACAGGTACAGCATCCCTGACACATGGCCATTCTTCTTAACTATCTCTAGGTGAAGCTCAGAGTCTCCAGTAAAGGCTCCTAAGGCAGTCATTTCCACTATGGAATAGCTGCTACCTCTGGGGAGTTTCTTTTGATGCTTAGCTAAAATCTTCTTCCCTGCAATTTCTATTTTTTCAACCTGATCCTGTGTTCTGCAGCAACAGAGATCCTTCTCCCATGCAGCACCCTTCAGATATTGGAAAGCTGATCTCATATCTCCTCTCTCCTCCAGGCAAACATGCCCACTTCTTTCAAATGGTCTTTACCAGGATTGTTTTCCACTCTCTGCTCTCTGGTTGTCTACATCCTTCTTTAACTATTATACTCAGAACTGGACACAGAAGTCCAGATGTGGCCTGATCAATGCAGAATGGAGTGGATCAGATGATGATGTGAGCCGCCCCGAGGCTTCAGCGAATGGGGCGGCATAAAAATGTTTTAATAAATAAATAAATAAATAAAACTATTACTTGCAAAATGTAGCACTGAAATGTGGAAAGAGGGAGTTGCTGGGAAGACACCTTCCAACAAGAGATCTCCACAAGCATTCTAACATAGTGCAGCCCTATTCAATTCCTAGTTCAGTTACCCAGATTCTTGAGCTGGAAGAATGGCATTTTGTAACCAGGGCTTGCAGGAGTGCTGCACCAACACTGCTTTATTAGCAGGGCCACCAACCTCAACTGCTACTCCTTTTGGCTTTGCTGGAGTAAAAAAATTTCCCCAAGTTGCACCCAAAGTATTGTGGGCTGTTTTGGTCTTGAAAAAACAATTGCAACACTGTCCTTCATGCAGTCCACTGCAAAACCTGTTTTAAAGCAGACAGGCAATATGAATGTTCTGTGGAAGGGGAACTCTGTGGAGATGGGGCCACCCCCAAAAAGGCCCAATATACTGCACTATAAGTTAATTCACATCACTACAGTTCTATCACATAATTTCATCACATTTGTAATAAACTGTTGGTGGCTGGGTTCCAGAGCTAAGGCTGCAATCCTATATCCTGTAAGTGTTAGTGACCACAATGGGGCTACTTTTGAGTAGGCATGTACAGGATTCCACTGTAAGTCGTAAGCTGGTATGATTTGAAAACATTTTAAAAATATGTATTTGAAATGCAATGCCAAGATTTATCTTTCCTATACCATTATGCCAGCTTGGAAAGAGGACCCCATCACTTGATTTTCAAGAGGGTTATTTCAGGCACAGTCCTCTAGAGTAGGAACATACATAAATACTATACCTGAAATGTACAGCCCTCTCAAATTCATAGGTTACTCAAAGATAATTCAGTGCTTCTACAGATGAGATTCCTGTAAGAACACAACATCTGGATGCACTATCATCATGCAATTGACTGCCTTGATGATATGATGGTGGCGAAGTTTCCACAAGCATGGGTTCAAATCCTGCTCGATCCCATGCCAAGAAAGTAAACCTAGATGATTAAAGGACTTTACTTCCAAGTGTAAACCCAGCTGACATTAGGTTTTAACATATGCATTTATTTTTGATAGCCTCTTCATATCCAAGCACAATAAAACTCATATGACAAAGATATGACTCAAATTATTCTTAAATGATTTTAAGTCAAAACATTTTTGATTAAAATAAAATAAAGAAATATCTGCTGGCAGAATTCTGTGCCTGCGTAAATAGAAAAATGTCCTACAACTTCCCAAAAAACCCTACAACATGATGGGATTTGTAGAACTTCATTCTATCCAAACATGCATAGGATTGTGGCTTAAGGTACTCGGACAATCTATCAGGAGGATATAGGATATAGCAGAACTCCATTTGCACCAATAGAAAGGATCTCCAGTAGTGTGAGGGACCCTCTACCCTGCAGAAAATTCCACAGACATAGATTTTCCTACCAGTGGTAGGCCTCCAATGGGGTGCTTGGGCAAGGGACAAAAGTGGTTTTAGATATGCTGGAGCTAAAGTCCTTGTATTCCATGCAGAAGCCAACAGAATGGATCCCTCTGTAAGATTGACCTGAAGCTCATGCTGGTAAACCTCCCATTGGTTTTGTGGGGAGGGGGAAGAAATGTGTAAATACAGTCATCCTCCCACATTTGTGGGGCTTAGGAGTGTAGGACCCCTGCAAAAGTGGAAACAATGGGAAATAACTCTAGCCCTTCTTCCCACAAAATCTTAACTCTTAATACTGTTGACCCTATGTGTCCTGGATTGCTTCTCTCTCTCTTTCTCAGACCTTGGTCTGAGCCATCAGGGTTCCCCTTCTTCATTTATTACATTCTTATGTCCTTATTCACCACCTTCCATTTACCAGCACCTTCTCTTTGGACCAAGGAAATACCAAAGAGATTTCCTTCTCCAGATGGGCAGGGCAAGAAAGCATTCTTTGGAGACCCCTCTCCCATGCTCCCCTTTGGCTTTCTCTCTCTATGGTGATGACAATTTTCTGCAGTAGGCCACAAAACACCCTCCCCCCTTCCCCCGCCTATATATATAATTGATGACAAACTCACGAATAATCAAACCCACAAAAGTCGAGGCTGGAAAGTTCAGCAACCTTGGCTTGAATTTTGAAGTAGCAAATGACCACCACTTCCCTTCCCCAACCCAGTGAGGATTCTCTGATCCATAAAATAACATTTTAATCAAATTATATAAAATAATAGTTAAGCCATGTAAAGAATTATGGAGGATAGCCTATCAGCAGAATATTAACCATGATGGATAGTTTAAAAAGTCTGTGTACAGAAGCAGGATGCCAGATGCTGGGAAAAACATCAAGAAGGGCCATGACCTTCATTCCCAGCATTTCTACCCAGAGAGATCTGTCTAGATGTTACTGCAAATAGAAAACTGGATCTGATGGGCCTTGTGCTCAGACAAAATGTCACTTTTATAACCATGTGATTCATCTGGCTACTGTGACCCATGCCTTCGTTACATCTCAGTTGGACTACTGTAATGCCCGCAGCACAGGACTGCCTTTGAAGACTGTTCTGAAACTTCTGGATGTTGCAGTCAGATTACTGGCTAGGCTGCAGGAAGCAAGGAATTCTCTTGATGCATCAGCTTTGTTGGCTACCAATCCATTTCTGGGCACAATTCAAAGAGCTGGTTAAGATCTATAAAGCCCTACATGATATTAGATCAGAGTACTTGAAAGATTGCTTTCCCCCTTATGATTTTAAGAGGCTTGGGGAAAGTTTTCCAGTCTGTCCTGCCACCAGTGGGATTACATGTGGTAGGAACAAAGAAGGGGAGCCTTTTAAATGGTGGCACCTTGGAGTTGGAACCCCTTCGAAAGGAGGCAATGCTAGCACCATGTCTATTCTCTTTCCATCTTTTTTTTAAATTCAAGGCAGGTTTCTGGTTGCAAAACCATTTCATTTACTGAATTAGGTTCTAACTGGTGAATATGCATTCTTTGTAAAAGATATGTTTTTAACTGGTATGTTTTACTGATGCAGTTATACTTGAAAGATATCCATTTTACCTGCATTTTTATTACTGGCAGCCACCCAGACCACTATTTTTAGAGGATAGGCTGGATATCCATTCATGAAATAAAGAAAATAATCTATTAGCAAGCATGATCTTCTACATCCAGTGAAAACAAAAGCAAGAAAAGTTCTTGATCTAATCTACCTCCTCCATTAGCAAGACATCCACAAAGCTGTGACGAAGTGGAAGTAATTCATCTTCCCCAGGTGTTGGCAGCAAGATGGTTGAAGAGGAAATGTGCCCGCCAAACCCCATGATTTTGCACTGCTTACATTTTAATGTGCTAGAATAATCTGTTACAGAGGTAATCTTAGTCTATCATTTTTGGCCTCCTTAACAGTGACATCTCTATTAGGCCAGTTAATATAAAATATACTTAATAGTGCCTTAGATCTGACAAAATTCCAACAGCACAACATACATTGTATTTTATGCAGAAGAAAGGAGGAATGGATTGCAAGAAGACTATGAGACTAAATGATATAAAATGGTTATAAAAATGTGGAGTGAATTAGAGACTTGCCTTCATGCTTTAAACAGATGGCCAAGAATATGAATACTGAACAGGATTTACTCTAGAATACTAAGGAAATAAGAGTGCAAAGTTGAATCAATCTGAGGATACAGTTTGAGTTCCAGAATTTATTCATTTTTCCATTTTTCACACACTGAAAATTTTTTACTATAGTTTCATACTTCACTAAGGGACCTTTCAGGAGAACTTAACAGGAGTGAAATAGCAATCCCCCCACCCACCAGGAATGTCTTTAGAAATAATTTACAATGAGATTTGGCAGCTGACTGTGACCCAGAGACGGCAGTGCCTCCTAAACCTACCTATAAGATGACCTGAAACATAAACCCATACCTGAAGCACCTCACAAAAAAGGAACTGTCCACTTTGGATTCAGTATGTGATATAATGTAATCAGCAAGTGGTTTCACACTTGTAATCCACTGCATGGTGTCATGCAAGCCAGGGTAGCACTGTGGTTAGACTTGGGAGATCCAAGTTCTAGTCTTCTCTTGGCCATAAAATGCTATAGATAACTGTAACCCAGTCACTTATGCTCACCCTAACCTCCTTTGCATGCAGGATAGCTACACAGACAGTCCTCTATTTGAAGGGCTGTCAGGGTACAGTTCTCTATCTGCAGGCCAAGTCCTGACAAAGATAAAGGATGAGCAGAAAAAAGAGCTGCACAAAACAGTTCAAGTTCTTGGAGCTGCAGCTTTAGGGCAAGTATATCATTTCCGCAGGAATGGGCAGGAGAAATCCATACCAAGATGATAAAACCAGGTTCTCCAGGTTCTCTTGTAACTTGCTCCATGATGTTGCTTTCCAGGATAGTTACTTTCTCAGTGAAAGTGGAAAACCAGGATGAACACAATCCATGCTAAACAAATAATGTGGTTTCACTGAGATATCAAACTGTGGCAATAGAGGAACCAAGAGTGATACAGAGTGTGATCCAAACTTAGTCATATTTATTGTAGGCCCATCAAAATCAATGGGATTTAAACAAGTAATGGCTGACGTGCTTTCAATGTTCCTTCTCTAAGTATAACTTATTCTGGATCCAGCCCCTAGTTTTCAGTACTAAGAAAACTTGTTAAATATTTCATGTCCATGAAAGAGCAGGTTAAAATAAGATCAGAGCGGTGGACATAAATGGATATGATGGAATATCAAAAAGTGAAAGGCAGAAATAAACTGACAGGAGGAAGGCTTCAAAGGGAGGAGAAAGAGCAGAGAAGTCCAAAAGATTTGTTATGCATGAATAACTGTGGCTGCACAATATGTATGATTCCGTACTACATTCCACTAAAAGCTCTACCTTGAGCCAAACCACATGTCTTACTTTTTTTTTCCTAAGTATGAACCAAGACAAAGCATAGCGGATCAGAAAAGCCAAGAGACATATGGAAATTGCATGGACCAACAGTAAAAACTAACATTTGCATTTAGAAAGAATGAGATTACAAACAATGTTTCAAAATGACATTATGTCCAACATGTTCATTTTCAGCTAGTGTTTCTCAAAAGCCAGACACAGCCATCAGGTTAGAAATTACATTTTTTTTTCTATGAAGCAAAATGGAATATAATAACTAAAACTCATTATAGTTATTATAAATCCACTTTGGCCAATAGGGAAAGAGCATTTTAAGGCAATACATACTACATGAAAAACAGTGAAGTCTTTTCAGTAATGGCCATGGAGGTATAGAATAAGTGTGATTTTTCAGATAACCTTACCGAGGGGTAGAAACTTGGTACTAGAGTTTTGATTGTCAAAATATATCTTAGAAAGCTTCATTACATTTCTAGGCCCTAGCTGACACATTATTGAATACTAGCAGCAGCAGCACCAACAAGGGAGAACTGAAATTAAGTAGCATATTCAAAATGGGAAAGCTTGTTGATGAGCTGATGAAAACCTTTGGCTGTTTCTTAGCACTGCTCCAAGGGATTGTGTATCCAGGTCCCCTCGGCTAGGATACTAGCCCGGGTGCAATTCTCAGACCATCCATATGACTCCAGATACGAATATGTAACTGCATGCATGCACTAAGGATTGCAACTCCTTGAAGACGCTTGACTGTGCAAGAGACTGCATGGCTTGCTTGTCTAGCTGGGCCAGCCGTTCCTAGTGCAACAAATTTGACCAATCCGAAATAGAAATATATTTAATAACATCTGGGGCTGTTCAGTCTTTGGGAATATTTCTAATTCCGGATTTCATCCAGCATAATTGGAATTGTGGCTCTAAGCCCCTAGGATGCATTCAAAATGGCAGCCAAATTGTTTTAGGCTGAGGTCCCAACCACATTTGCTTGGAATCACGCTCCACTGAAGACACTTCCAAGTAATGTATTTAGGAGGGGTGTGCCAGCCAGTATTAGGAAGCCTGGAAATTATTTTAAACAATATCAAAGAAAGATGCTTGGTACCTAATCCAACAAAGTCAGATATGTGTATTGAATGTGTGTGTGCGTGCGTGTGGGGGGGGGTGTATCTACACAACTGTGCATGGCACACAGAGAATTTAAGCTGCTTTTTATATTTCTCAACATTTAAATGGGGTTCACTGGATCATGTCCATGCATTATATATGGGCAGTGCTGAAAAAGAAATAAGGAAAATGGCATAGCTAGGGCCTAATTAAACATTACTAAATGCTACAAGCAAACACATGTAACAAAATGTTGTTGGCTTCCCCATCACCTTAATAAACTAGCAAATTTTCAGTTAAAGGAGAATTTCAACACATCACTTGGGTGTGTGTTTTGCCTACTATACAACCACCACTTCTCTGCTTCAGATCGTACCCACATGTCACTTTTTCTTCGCAGGGTTCCAAATGTGCATTTACCCTGGAAAACAAATATTTGAAAGCCTACTGAGGGAAACTGTCTTGGAGGACAATCTGAAGCAGGAAAGCAGCAGGCAAGGAATGGATTCACAAACATTCTCTTCAGCTGCTGCTTCTCTGCTATCAACTGGTCTTTCTAAAGCAGCCTTCTCTTCCTCTTTTAAAGCAATTACAGCTTTGTTACATGCATTTGCTTGATATCCGTTTCGGTATTCATACAAGATTAAGCTTAACTTGTATTCTATTTTGTTTGAGCCCTGATCAGGCTCTTGAGACTGTATCCAAAACAAGTAGCAGCATTACAAACAGTTGGAACAGATAAAGTCAAGCCAGCATCTCCAAAAACCTTCTGAACAGGAAAAAATCCCTTTGCCAGTTTTTAAAAGAGTTAACTGAGTGTAACACGCCATTCTATGTGAAGGGTGAGTCCACCACCAAAAAGGCCCTGCTCCTTGAATTTCCCAGCCTTTCTTAAGAAGCTCGGCACATCAGGATCAGAACCAAGCACATGAGAAGGAACATAAGAAAGATGATTCCTAAAGCATCCTGGATTGAGATTGTTTCAAGGTTAAAATGCACCATTTCCACTTATCACTCTTTTGGACAAAGATCTCTTTTGGACAAATACAGCTTCTCATTACATAGGACTGGGAACTTCTGCAATTGAACAAAAAAAAAAAAAAAGGAACCACTCCAGATGTGCACTCAATAAGTTGTACAGAAGTGACAACATCTGGAGCCAAAAGGAGATATGACTTTATTCCAAACACATTCTCTTTTTGGCTATTGTCTTTGATCCTCAAATGTTACTGAAAGCATTAATGCTGCAATCTTAAAACCACTTGCTAGGGAGAAAGCCTCCAGTGCGAGAGAAGTCATGCACAGGACTGTGTATTTCATAATCTTCCACATGATATGAGCTGATCTTCTAGAAGGGGTTAAATCTCCTGGATTTCCAAAAACCTGTGTTTGATTAGAACAGGCTTCAGCTTCACCCTGGGAAACTGAACTCATCGCTTAGCAAAAAGTACACCCAACGCTTTTACAAGGTGGGCTAGCTGCAGCATACCATGCATTAAAGTATTCTCAACAACATCTTTTGCTACAGTGACAAGGCTTATCACAGCAAGACAGACCACAGGAGGATTGTGAAGCAACAGCACTGCTGCTATATTCAAAGAAAGGCACGCTTGCTCATTTTTGTAGGCTAAGCATAGGTCTGACCACAAATTCCTCACTCAGCGAAGGATCATCTAATGCATTCCATATGAGCAACACAAGCAACGCTGGCTCTTCAAATTCTGCTCACCGTCACATCTTCTGCGTTCCCATTGGGAACTTCTATTGCCCGGATGGTCGTGTCCACCTTCACCTTTGCCCTGGTTACAAACTGAATGACTGATGAACTGTCCTAAGGATGAAGAACAACCAAAGTTGAGCCAACTCTGTCAAATGTGCAGCCTTCAAAGACTTTTAACCACTGGCTCTTTTATAGCCTCAAATCAGATGCAAAGTCTCTCAAGCAATATTCCAGACTTAACTCCAACCCACTCCATTAAATCTGATATGCTGTGGTGCTGGTTTTTTGTATTCAGTCTTGGATCTGATCTGGATGAAAAACTCTCCAGTCCAGATGCATTGCCCAATTAAAAGAATGTAATGCTCTGCCAAACACCACCAGCAAAGAGCATCTTAACCTGAATGATTTCTGCATAATGAAGAACAGATATTTTAGATGCAATTACTAAAATGCACTTGTGTGCACTATTATATAAAATATTTTATTATTAAATCCTGACATGACGCAATGTAAAACTCATATATATATGTGGGGGGGGGGCATTTCTCTCCCTCCTTCAAGAGCGAATCCCTCTTCCCCTTCCAGAAAAGACTAAAGCACAAATGGCCCAGAATTGCTTCTTGTAATGCAAAACTGTATCTCATGCCTTCTGCTGGGGCCAGATCAGAATCACTGTCTCAGATCACCCGAGTGCCACATGGTGCCACAGGAGCAAAGTCACAATTCAGAAGACAACTTGGGGGCATAATTCCTGCCATCCTTTCTATATGGTTTTCCCATGGCCAGCAAAAAGCATGCATGTGACTTTCACACTGTGGCTTGAAACTGCACCGTGCCTACAGTCCAAGGGGTCTACCATGGGTGTGAAGCCACTGGGTGCCATGGTGGTAGCTAGACAGGACATTTGGACCTTGGTACCCTTGTACTAATTACATCATCAATGTGAATGAGACCCCACAACACTTCTGCTTGTAAACCTGTACCTGCTTTTCTAAGCATCAAAACAGCAAATAAGGGGATTCCTCTAGAAGGAGCTTAGCTAAACGGATCTGCCTCCCTTAGCATGTACAGGTCACCTCCTGTGTCATTATTACCCAATACAGGCTTTTAAGAATCAGACCAGGCATGCCTATCTTTCCTCCTAAACACAGAACACTGGACTGGTTGGCTTAACCCTTGGGGTGATGTCAGAGCTCTTATTTTCAATATTAGGCCAATGTTTTATGGCAGTCCAGTTTCAGGTGAAGCAATCATCAGCCAAACTATGCTCTCAACCACAACTCAGCATGAAGAAATCAAATCTGAAACAAAACCAAAAGCAAGTACTGCAGCAGGAGGCTGAATCACTGTTAAGTTCATGAAAGAGGGCTCAGGAGACATTTATGACAGCGTATGCCAATGATAAAATGTCAGCTCAGACAGGAAACAGGCACTCAGCTCTAAGGGCATTTAAGGGTTGTGACTTTCAGCGCTGAATCTTGCTGATGTGCATGGAGCTAAAGCAGTTGTTTGCTTGTTTGCTTAAATATGATGCAGAGCCAGGGTATTTAGCAGTTTGAAAGCCGGAAAGGATGAAAAGACACACCAGCTTAAATTCTTTTTAGTTTAAATTTATGAGAGCTGCTCAAAGTGCAGTGCATGAAGCTAAATAATTCCAGTTTAATTCCCACGGTGTGCTGGATTTGTTGAGAAATCTTAACATTATAAATTCAGGCAATTATACTCACCTTTTTTAATATCTCAGTATTCAACAGCATCTGCACATCTATGGTGCGCGATTCTGCTTTGATTAGTGAGCTTAAGTTACAGTGTATAATTAAGCACGACCTGTCTGGTTGTTCACAGTCCTAAGGGAGACAAGTAGAAAGCTGTGAGGCAAATAAGGAAAGGGAAAAACAAACAAAAAATAAGCAATGTTCAGCTTTTGGTCTTGGGATAACAACAGCCATGTTTTCGTTACTTCTCATTCAGCTTCTCTAGAAATATCCCCTAGGAAGCCTTTGTACAAAGCTTTACAATTTGCAGGAATAAGCCATCCACGCAGCATGGAAATCATATTAAATAGGAGCTATGCAATGCAGTGCCAGTTCTCCGCAGAAAGATTGATATGGAGTACCCAATAAACTTTCATGATGCAATCCTGTATATACTTACCTGAGATTAAGCCCCCTTTTGAAATCAGGGTAACTCAACTCTTGAGTAAACATGCATAGAATTAGACTATCATTTAGAAGACAAATGCTGATAAACAAGGCAATTAGAGAAATATATTTATCAGATTGAAGAACAATCAATTTGAAATATGCTGGTTTTGATTCAAGTTAACTTCAATCCTGGTGGGATGTGCACTCTTTCTACTTTAAGGTCCAGAGCTCCCTATGTGTGACAGTGACAAGAACATGTACAGTTGCATGCATGCATATGGATCACCATGTGCGAAGTGCAGGCTGATGCTATTTTATCCTGGCGCATCTCTTCATGCATGCAGGACACGGAAATTGAGAGAAGGGCCATTGGCCAGTGGTAGAACACATGCTTTGCATGAAAAAGATCCCAGGGAAAAAAAATCACACCTGAATCCTGAAGAGCTTTTGCCTGCTAATGTTGCCAGTACTGAGCTCATTGGCCCAATGGTCCTAATAGCTATAGGGCAGCTTTCTATGTGTTGTGCTTAATATAAACAAACTAATGGGATCTGAGATAGCAGCAACCGACCGAGAAAGAGGCCTTGAGGTTGCAGTGGACAATCCCAATCTAACACCATGAGCACAACAGAACACTGATACCTCTTTCTTTTTCCAGGGTGGATCAGGAAATTGGTCTGAGGGAGGAAAGATTACCCAGCTTCCCACAGCACTGCAGCCCCAATCCAAGATTTGTCTAGCTTAAGGAAAAAAATGGAATAACTAACCATGGGTTTCCTGCATGGAACCTGGTCTGCAGTTTGAGAACTTAAGAGTCCTGCTGGATCAGATTACTTAGGCCCAGCACAAGCTCTCTGCCCATCTGAAGAGGCAAAATACAAGAGCCACCCCCTGGGACCACACCATACTTCCTCAGCGCTGTGGGAAGAAGGCCCGGGAGATTGTCTGAGGGGATTTTCAGCATGAGCCAAAGGTGGCTGGCTAAGAGCAACCTTCTGTCACTTTTTGCTCAGAGGGAGTGTGGCTGCTCTGGAGGAGGCAGGTCTCCAGAACACCTGCTGGAGATGGTGGGAGTGGGCAGAAGACGTAATTCACTGCTTCTCCCATCCTGCCACCAAAACAGGGGATTTGCCCAGTCTCATGGCAGGGCCATTCTTAAAAACAATGGCTGCTTAATCTAGCATTCTGCTCCCATAGTGGCCAACCAGCTGCCAATGAGAACCCCAGAAATAGGACATGAGTACAATACCACCCTCCTCATCATGCTTCCCAGGAAATGATATTTAGAGGCATGTGCCCTCTGATTATGGAGGCAATGCTCTTTGAGGACTGCAGCATGTACTCTAGTGAAATTATCCCCTGCCCCCCCCCTTTAAATATCATTCCATTTTATTCTCTCTCTCATGGATACTTTTAAGTAGAGCTAGTTGTTGAAGAAAGACATGTGCAGCACGGTCAGGCAAACTACCATGGGCAGAGAACAACAGCTATGGGAGGGAACATGCACCCCCGACGCATGCATGCTCAGCTGGGATAGCTATATAAAAGGACTGGCTGTGATTGGCTAATGGTTTCAACCAATAGGTGCTGTTATGCGGATGAGCTCTTGCATGAATGGGGGCACCTGCATGCGCAACAGTGGCCTGTCAATTTATTCTGCTCAGTTATTTTGTCATTATTTTAAATAAAATACTACTCTTGTGGTTCATGATCTGGACTCCTGCTTAAACCCTAGATGGCTTATACAAATTGTTCCATCAACCTGAGCTTTAGGTTTCAAGTAGGATGCATGAAAAATGGGGTACCATTGTTACTTTACGTTTTTTCAACTCAGGAATGGTTACAAATAAGCTGAATCACAGGCAGTGCACACAACACAGTGCTCCAAACCCACTGAAGGATGAGACTGAACAAGGCACAGTGTTTATTAAATTACCTTGATTGGTTGTCTAACACAGGCAGTGAGTGCTAATCGTGGTTCCACTCTGAAGCACATTCTGGGTTGGTTCAGGCTCTGTTTATAAGTGGCATAATTTCATTTGCGACCCAAGCTGGCATTTCATGTCAAAATGTACCACATTTTAAAAAGTTATTTAAGAAGATTTTCTTTTAAAACGTAGCAACTGAGTAAACAGTTTCTGGTTATCTGACAATAGATAAAAGCAAAGATTCTTTCTGGCCAGCTGTAGACAGAAAGTGCCCCACGTACTCACGGAGCTCTGCTGGTTATAATAGTATTGGAGAGCCTATGTGAATATGGAGCTCTGGAACAAGGTAATAGTCCTTTTCAGTATTTCTTACCAGTACTTTCCTCCCAGACTTGGTAAAAAAAGCAAATATTGTGTGAAAAATGTTCTCCTTTTCTTGAGGAATGATGCACGGTGTTGGGTTTTTCTGAAATGAGCAGTTTCCCTTGTCCTGGGCAACCTAAAGAAAAATAAAACAGCACACAAACAACTTATTTTTCAGGCATATATGTATATAAACCAATGCTTAAATTATAATAATTATGACAGGGTTCCTTTTTTGGCTTTTGCTAAATTCGTACTTCTGCCACATGACCATCAAGAAATGACAATGAAATAAATTAATCAATCTATTAACACTTGCAAGAGTTGCCAGTTTTTCGTATTTCAGAAGTGCCTATTTGCATGTGTTAATTGATTCTAATTGATACACACTGAAAATGCCAAGTCTTGATTGCTGGGCCTGAACTAAAAGGGAAGGTTGGGGGAAGGAGGGATCCTACCCACATTGCTTGCAGGAACCATTTATAGCCCTCCTTTCCCTCTCCATGACAACCAGTAGAAAAATGCTTTAATTTGGAAGTAGGTTGTAGATGGAAAGATGGGCTGGTTGTTAGGTTAGGGAAGTAGTGCAGTGGTCATTTCCCATGGTTCTACTGTACACCATTCAAGTAATATAAAGAAGAGAAAGATCATATGGAAGGAGATCTCAATTGCCCATTGCCAAAACATACTGTATAGATAGAACAAAAATCCTTTTTGATTTCCAAAAATGTGCATTAATAGTAATGTAAATTTCCAAAAATCCTTCTCCCAGTAGCAACAACACCCTAGAGTGCAAATCTGAGTGATTCAGAAAAAGAGGGTTCACTGTGGAATCTGTAGTTCGGATCCACAAAGATGCGAACTCCTTCGAATCTGTAATGGATTTCTCCAACATCCCTCATGAAAGTAAGCATAGCAATTGCACTACGCATTTGCATGTGTTCTAATGTTACCTCTTGTGGTGGGAAAGTAATGTAGAAGCAAAGATAGTACCTTGGTGGGCTTCATCTACTGCGCTTTGCTTAGCTAGAGGAAGCAGGGTGATCTGAAACTGGCTCTCTGACAAAGGCAAGTGCTGAAGAAGCACTTGCTGGCCCTCTGGTCTGGGCTGGTCCCTCGTCATCAAAGATAGGACCCTGCTGCCTGACAATAGCCAGTTAACAGATGGATGTCTCAGGGGAAAGCAATCTAGACTGAAACTAGTCTGGCACTACCAACTTTAGGATATGGTTCTCAATAGAAGGGATAAAGCTCAGCAGCAGAGCAAATGCTTTGTATGCAGAAGGTCCCAAGTATTATCCTGGCATCTCCAAATAGCCTAGGATGGAATCTTTCCTGAAACCCTGGAAAATGTCTACTGGTCAGCATTGACATTAGACCAATGGTAAGAATCTGTAGGAGGAAGCTCCCTATGTTTCTGGGTTGGAAGAAGTACCCCAGCAAGAAGCTCAAATTCGGGACAAACTTTTCACAGAGGATAGTATGCCTTCCCCACTGGGGAGAGACCAAAGCAGGGGTAGACTTTGCATACAGAAGGTCTCAGGTTCAATAGCAAATAACAGGAATGATTCAGACAACACTCAAGGAATGGGTGTGGATTGTCACTGAATCATAGATTGCTGTTGAAATGGAGCTTATCATGTTGTCTGAACCCAGCTGAGATAAACCATGGTGAGCAACTCACATTTCACAATTCAGCAACTGACCAGGGGTTTTCCTAATGGGTTGCTCCTAGTTAACAAGTCATGGGTTCAGACAACACAATAACCCATGCAATTAGTGATAAGTTAATTAGTTCGATAACCCATGCAATTAGTTCAGACAATTAGTGCACCTGGGTTCAGACAACACGATAACCCATGTTTCCTGACATTTAGGACCCTGAGGGTATGGAATGGGCTTCCACGGGAGGTGGTTGAGGCCCCATCAGTGAGGGTGTTCAAGGATAGCACAGACATGCACATGGTGGGCATGTTGTGAGCGGAGCTGGCTGGAGCCAGGGGTCAGACTAGATGGCCTGGGAGACTCCTTCTGACTCGCTCTGTTCTGTGTTTCAACAAAGAAGAACCTACATTTCAATGACAACCCATACTCAACCCTGAGCATGGGATATCATGTTGTTTGAGCCTGGTCATTGACTGAGACCCTGCTACCTTTTAGAGCAGACAATACTGACTCAGCCAAATAGTTTGGAACAGCATAGGTTTGCTTCCTATTCATTAAAAGCCTCCAAACTTTTAATGAAGTTAATGTAAGGACAGATGATAAATGTTTGATGGAAAATTAATCCAAGAGTGTCAGTCTTTCGCATGAACCATATTGCTTCTCAGCGACGGGATATAGCCACTGAAGTAAAAATGTGACTTCATTCGCAAAGAATGAACATGCAGAGAAGGTTCTCATAGGATTTTTAGAAGCTGAATGTTTTAGTAGCCTTATGGAGAAAGGAGAAGGGAAGAAGAAAACAGCAGTAGATTTTAACCAGGCCCAATAATGTCATCTTTAACAGCAAGCAGTGGAAACATGCATCTTTTTGTAAGGTCAAATGCTTGTGTATATAAGGAAAATAGTCCTATTATAAATGAGAAATAATTTAGGAAGTAACAGATACTGATATCCAACGCTGTATTCTGAGCTATTCAGCTTATTTTTTAAGGGGAACGATTCTCTGCAGGTTGAAACCCAGCTCCCTGTTTGGGATTACACATTTCCAAATTAAAGATTCCTGTTTGGGATTACAATTGCTCTGGATAAAGTTCTGAGACCCTCAAACAGTTGATTCACTAGATATGAATCACAATCACTTGAAAGCCTATCAAAACTGACAAAACCAAGGGCAATTCAGTCACCACCTGCTATTTCTATCTACTGGATGCTAGGAAAAAGTGGTAGTGATGTGTATGATCGACTGATTGTACATATGTGACAGGGGGAGCAACTTAAGAATGGTTAGGGAGGAATCACAAAGGGTAAGGGTAACAGGGATGTGGAATTGGAGGCTGGAGTAGCTTTCTGCACCTTTCACTCATTAACGCAACCAAAAACAGGGGGAGCAACTTAAGAATGGTTAGGGAGGAATCACAAAGGGTAAGGGTAACAGGGATGTGGAATTGGAGGCTGGAGTAGCTTTCTGCACCTTTCACTCATTAACGCAACCCCCCCCCCCCAGTACTGGTAACATGTGTGCACATGGACTGTATAAAGCCATCTTGAAGTGATTGCATGCATGACTACATCCATGTTCCTTACATGCCATAATGAGCATGTGTGCACAATCAATCAAGAAAAATAGATTCCAACAGGCTCCATCCATGGTGGGCAATACTTTGAAGCTGGGTCTTATAGCCTGAAACATCTGGAGTGCACCATGTTGGGGAAAGCTGCACTGCACAATTTCATCAGATTGTTTTTGTTCCTAGCAGTGCTGTTGGAATGATGCATTCAAGCACTCCAGAATGACAAATGATAGCTACTGGAGAGACACCCTTCTGGGATAAATATGAATCAGCTGACTCAGTTCTTCCCTAAACCAGATGCCTTCTTCACAAGCTCCAGGGTGTGTTGACCTCAGTGACTGGGCAAATGTTTCATCTTATAATAGTTGCTGGAGAACATTACCCTTCGGGGGGTGGGGCAGCGCATATCTTTAAAAAACATTTCCTGATATATTCAGAGTGCAAGTACACAAACTGGGAAAATTTATCAGGCACATCCCTTTTTTTTTTTTTTTTTTTTTTACCAAAGAGGTTCAGAATTCTTTTAGTAGTGGACTTTACAAAACAAACAGCTGTACAATCCTCTCCAAGTGAGGAGGCAGTTTGTTCTCCTGGAAAGAATCACAACTTGAGATGAGCAAATGACAGATGCTTTACTGATGAGAAGATGCTGCAGCAAAACACAAGTGCTAAGTGATCTTGCAAAAAGGGCTCCCATGAACGAGGGGAAGGGTCATCACTCAGTAATAAAGCACACATTGTCTAAGCATAGGGTCTCAGGCTCAATCTTTGGCACCCCTAAGTCGGGCTGTGAGAAAAACCTAGGGCAGCCTCTGCCAGTCATCCTAGACAAGGATGAAGATCATGTGGCCCTGCGCATGTTGCCGCACTGCAACTTCCATCAGCCCTAGCAAGCATACCCAATTGCAAAGATGATGGGCGCTGCAGTCCAACAATATCCAGAGGACCACATGCTCTGCAGTCCTGGCATAGACAGTAGATGGGCCAATGCTCTGATGTGGTAGTAAGTTTGCTTCCAATGTTCCTAACTAATTCATGGGAAAGTTTCCACATGCACTCACCCTTGTCCATTGTCTTTAATGATTTATTGAAAATTTTTTCTGATTTTATCTAAAATTGGTATGCCTTTTCCTCCTTTCCTTTTCTCTGTGTCAATACACTTCATCTCTCTCTTTAGAACAATGTGAGCTTTCTTCCTCAGTACTCATTCCAAAGCCTTCTACTGAGTTACATACTACCTGTTTTAAGTTTTATGCCTTGAGGGTACCAGCTGGCTCCTTATTTCTGAAGCCCCTGGAGTGTCCCATTAGGTCTGAGAGTCTCCTGGTTCAGGGTGAATTGGATTCAAGAGAAGCAACCATATATGGACTTCGTGCATTGTCCACACTGCAGAGAGTTTGGGCAATTCTGTATCTTTCTTCACTTAGATTAATGCAGAAAACTTGTGGGCCTCCAGATGTTGGACTATAAATTCCATAATCCCTGACCAAGAATGGATAACATTAACCCAGTTTTGCATGACCAACAAAGACATTCAAGTCTTAGTGAACAGGAAGGGCAGGCAGTGTCTAATATATCAATGGTAAGGGGAAACATTTGTTTTATTTTAGTGCTAACAAAAGGGTTGAGGTCTGCAGCTTAACACCACCATACATGGCATCCAAAAGGAGAGTTTATAAGTAACATTCCCATGCTCAAGTGCTCAGCAGCTGAAATCCAAGACAGTGCTTACATTCTGCCCTTCTCTGGTGGCAAAGTAAGGTAATTAATGCATTGCAAAGATGCCAACTGCTATCTGATATTAGGCAAAGCTTCAGGCTGGGCTCCTCTAAACAGCTGGTATAAGATGGAAGCAGAGCAGGCTGACACAATCCACCACAAAGCTGAACGAAGGCAGCCG